GATAATTTTTTCATCGCCTTTCATAATTACTGGTGGTAGGTGGTACCTCTTGTAAGTCCGCACGGGTATTACCACCACCCTGCCTATTTCTGAAACGCATTCTTTCTTCTGCGAAGAAGTAATGCGTTTCAGTTTGAAGGGTGGGGCAGCCATTGTAACTATACTTGAGACCTTAGAACTTATATCTCAAGGTGGGTGGCGCATTTACGTTGTAGATGTCTATGTGCTCCAGTAACCACTTAACACCAGATGGGCTGTGAGTTCTTCCATCCATTTAAGCAATAAAAAATTACATAATAATAATTAGCATTCCGCTAATACATTTTAATTAATTAATTTAAAACATCAATAGCGATGTTATTGTGTTAATTTGATAATAAGGTCGTTCATTCTTGTTAAATCAAAATGAAAATTGATTAAACAACGCCTGCTGTGTAAGGCTAATTAAATTTTTCTTCGCTCGCGCTCTTTCAAGGTCCCAATTAGATTTCGGAACATTTATATATACTATATAAAGTTAGGTAATTGTTAAAATAAATTAATATTGTCAATTATTTATTAAGACCATTGCGTTCATAATGACTTCAGAAGAAAAATATGTATTGACTGGTATAAGCGGTATACTTTTAGGATGCATTTTGACTGAGAGGACCACATGGTGGTTGTGGATACCATGTGTTATATTTTAGTTCTTTTACTTCTTGCGATTCCGATCCGGTAGTAGAATCATTCGCGAAGCTGCTGCTCTTGAGTTGTTAGGTCTTCTTTGAAGGTGCTCGGGCAGCTGTTTTTTTTTTTTTTTTTTTTTTTATTGCCTGTAGGCAGACGGGCATCGGCCCACCTGATGGGAGTGTGTACCGTCGCCCATGGACTTCAGGCAATGCCAGGCAGAGCCAAGCCGCTGCTACGCTTATACCTCTCCACAAGCCTTTGAAGAAACATTCATAGCGCTCGGGAAACACCGTGGAGGGGAGCTCATTCCATAGCCGGATGGTACGTGGCAAAAAAGACCTTCTGGAAACGCACTGTGGATGACCGCAGTGGCTCCAGGTAGTATGGATGAACTCGACTCCGGTGGCGGGCGGTGCGATGGTAAAAACGAGATGCCGG